GCAAGGGGACAGAGCTGCTGAGGGTAATAGTCCAGCAGGGACTAGATTAGAAGCAAGAAAAACAAACAAACAAACAACAAACCTTGCCACAAAGAGGGGAAAGAGCAAATGGCCAGCAAATCCCCAGGAGGTGAGGGCAGGCAAGTAAGCAAAGGCTTCATTTCACAAAGACTTGAAGGCCTTCAAAGTTCCCAGGTGGTGAAAGCCCTCATCTGAAAGGGTTGATCTTCAGCTGCTATTCCGAGGATGGACTACAAGGGACAAGGTCAAGGTGAAGACACCAATAAAAGATGCTTGGAAAAGAAGAGGTAGAAAGAGCTTTGGTCAGGACCACCATTCAGAATAGTGGTGGTAAGAAGCAGCTGTACTCTGGGTACTCTGGGGAGATGGAGCTAGAGTAATAGGGTAAGAGACGGTTTGCTGATGCGAGAGGAAGGTGCGGGTGGTCTTGGCAGAGCAGCTGAGAGAGGACTACTGTAGACAGAGCAGGAATGGCAGGTGAAAGGACTGGCTACGGACTTGCTTAAGATGCCCTATTAGGGAGGAGAAGAAGAATAGCCCGCAAACCTTCTCAGTAAGTGAGACTGGCAAAGCTAATCCGTCTATTCAGCAATGAGAACAGATGAAGAAGGCACAAGCTGAGCTTCCAGAGTGTCTTTTATAAGAAGTTCATCTCTGAAAAGAGTGCAATCACATTATTTTTTTACAGTCAAGTGACAGGAAAATATAAGGATTTGAAACCTGAACTTTGAGAAAGCTGAATCATCTGGATTTTACTGGCTCATTAAAGAGTCACATAAAATGATGAGAAAAAAAATATCAGTGACTCTCTTTGTAAAGTATATAAAGGATTTGCTGAGAGTCAGAAAATTTCTCTTGGATAAAAATTGGTTCTTTCTGGATTAAGATGAAGTTGGTTTTGCTTAAATGTTTGAAGAAGTCATTTCTTCAGGACATTCAGACTGTATGTAGGATAATGGTTTAGAAGCCAAGATGAGACTCACGCATTTCTATGTCCCCATATAATCAAATGCAATGCTAGAAATTCTCTGCATACACCCCTCCTTGGTAAGAGCAAGAAATGCTGGATGCTTATAATACAACCAAAGTCCCTGTGTACCCAGAAACTGAGCTCAATTGAGAGGCCACATGCTGATATACTTTTACCCAACCTTGAAGGTCTACAGTGAATCACTTATATTATTTCCCCAATCTGTTTGTGTCAGTTATAATAGAACATTACATAAACAAATGAAACATTACAACGAAAAGAAAAAGAGCTGTTGTTTTTAGAGCTGAATGATCAAAAAATATTTTTTTAAGGCAAGTTGCTATTTTTTTCCTCCAAGTGTTATGTAGACTAGACAAACAGTAGATTAAGGGAAGAAGTCACAGAGCTATGGAATTTGGTCTTAAATGCATTCTGCTCCATGTGTATCCTTAATGTCTGAACTGTGTACCAAAAGCTACACAATGCCCCATCAACAGAACACCTTAAAGTCTGCAGCTCTGACACTGAAAGAATGGCCAACAACTGAAGCATAGTTATTGGATTAAAGTGAAAGCATTCAAGATCTGTAGATACTAATTTAAAAACTGGTTCTTTGTTGTTACTGACTTTTGTAATAAACATCCTTCATATGTACTAAGTGGGCCATTAACACATTCTGTGACCCAATAATTTGAGGACATTTAGTTTCACTCACACTTGATTGGAACCATTGAGTCACATATATCTTTCCAGGTATTCTCCTCTGCTTTTCTCATTGACCTGATTTGATTTATGAATTCTCCCATATTTTTGACCTAACCCAATCACACTTACATTTCATATAACTCCTCTTAATCAGTGGCTTGTACAATGTGTTAGGGGCACACAAAGCCAGGATTGGAAATAATGTAGAAATAATGTAGAAAATAATGTGAATCAGAAGGTAGTAAAGGTCCTGATCTTGACTAATGTAGCTTTTTAAGTCTTGAAAGCAGCATGGGCATCATCCATCTACATGCATATTCACTGAAAGAATTAGTGAAATTCGGGGAAAATTATTACACGTAGTTAGAAAAAAGTGTGATATGCAATGCTGTCAACAAGCACTCATTAACCAGAAGGACATGATGTAATAGACTATCCAATCTGGACAAAGAGATTCATTATTTGTATATTATACCATTAGTGAAATATAAACTTCTAAATAACAGTTCTGAGAAGCCAAAATATTTTCCCCTTAATAAGAGTAGGGTTAAATAGCTATGAGTCTGAACTGAAAATCACAACAGAATTATTGATAGTCTTTCTGGAAATGTGCTTTTTTAAAAAATGAAAATGTTACTAAAAGAAAAAGATAAAATTTATCTTTGAATATGTACTACCCACCTTACCAGTATTCTACAAATAACTTACTCATTTGTATATATTCCAGAAGGAGGTTCTTAAACACAACAGGCCAAGATTGGTAGCAACTAAATTCAAGGAAATAACACTGTGATTCATTGATTGAGCCATCTTCCCAGGACTGTACTTGTTTGTGGCTTAAGGCGATGTAGGCAGCATCACTTCACAGAAGACAGATGGCTTGAGTTTAAGGCTGGGCTTGGGTCTAGCCTTCCCGAGTGGTTTTGGAGTTCCACGGTTTATCTGTTGTGTCTGAGAGGTAAGATGGTGGGAGGCCCATGCCCAGCTCCCATCAGAGCTTACACTCTCACTTTGAGATCATACCAGCTAACATGAGGATGCAGTACACGGGCATTTTCAAAGCATTAACTCTGGCAGCGCTGGCAATGCTCACAATCGTACAGCAGATATTTTGTCCAATTCCCATTTTACAGAAGAAAAAACATTTAGACAAAGAAGGGTAAATACTGTGTCTATGTTCCCAGCTGGTAAGAGGAAAAGAAAGGATTTATGCTCAGCTAATCTGAGCCCAAGTACAGATTCTTGAGTTCAGAAAGAGTCACAGTGTTTCTTCTAACAGGAATTGACAATACAAGGAGACAAAAGCCAGATACACAAGTTTAAAAAAAAACTGTATCTCTGCAAAATTTCAAGTAGCCAAATATCTGCATTTGATTAGCTAGTCTTCTTCACAGTTAGCCAGAATGGTTGCCCAGAGTCAGTGTTGCTATGGCAAGCAGCAACGAGAAAGACCTTTACAGCAAATATGCAAGCATGAACTATAAGACCTGGCAACACTGTTTGTCTAGATCAAGGTCAATAATCCATTTAAATTAGTTTCCCATGTGAGAAGAATAATAAAAGCTTGAGAGGCCTGTAAAGGCTGTCTTCCCCAACTGAAATAACAGGAACAATAGCATAAAACCTACAAAGGCACTACCAAAAGGACAGAGCCAAAGGCTGCTCTGCAACTTGAAGAGCCCATTCCTGGTTCCAAAGCACAGGGCAAGAGCCTCTCAAACTTCTGCACACAGGAATTACCTGGAAGTTCTTCTTACAAATGCAGATTCTAGACCAGTGACTCTGGGTGTCCCTGGGACTAGTGTGTAATGAAGCCTCAGGTCAGGCCAATGCTTCTAGAACGAGGTCTATGCCATGTAAGTGATGGTAAATGAGCCCTGTGGTCTCAGAGTGAGCCAAACTCATTTCTGCCACTTGTTTTACCCAGAGTGCATGCTTGTGTTATTTTTGTTTCCCCAACTGATCTTACTGGTTCATTTCCTTCTTAGCTACAAAATTCAGCATCTCCAGCAATGCCTTTCTCACTAAACCTACACTGTGTTTCTACAATGAAAAACAAAAGACCCCCCTCCCTCCCTCGCCCCCACATCCCAAATCCATGTCTCTATAATGGAAGAGTAAAAGGCTTGGTGTCCTTGCTACAGATTACTTATGTTCGGAGGTCAAGTCCTTGGAAAGAAAGAATTTACAGAAAAAGGTTTAAGTTTGAAGCTTCTTTGAACAAAATCTCTTATAGTGGCTTGCTAGGGCAATGGTTTTCTGGATGTCATAATGCAAGATAGATCTTGCCAGGTGGTGGTGGCACATGACTTTAATCCCAGTACTAGGGAGGCAGAAGGAGGTAGATCTCTGAACTCAAGACCAGCCTGTTCTACAGAGAGAGTTCCAGGTCAGGCTCAAAGCTACACAGAGAAACCCTGTCTCGAAAAAACTAAAACCAAACAAACAAGCAAGATGTATCTTAACTCAATACTTCAACAGTTGATGGAGAAGAAGTTGGGGTTTTTAAGCAGCTGGGCTTACAATGTTCAATATGGTAGCCATCAGCTGTCATGGCTACTTTGTACTTTCAATGTGGCAGGTCTGATATGAAAATAACACTAGATTTCAAACACCATGACCAAAAGAATGTGAACTATGTCACTAGTAAATTTTATGCTTATATCTTACTAGGATAACAATGTTTGGGATATGTTGGGTTAAATACCATATTTTATAGAAATAGTTATATCCATGTTGGTCTCTGGTGCTTAGATAGAACCCAGGGTATCAAACATACTAGGCATATTCTCTACTACTGAGTCACTCATTACTTTCTTTTTAAATTCTTATTACATTTTTTACACTAAAGGCTTATCCACGACATGCATGCTCTTTCCCACTCGGCTACATCTAAACCATATACATAGTTTACATTCTGCTTCTGGTGGACAGAACTGACAAAGACACTTGCTGCTCAAAATATGGTTTTCAGAGCTCAATGGAAAAGGAACCTCTTGTCCCCCACCTCACACCTATTGATACCAGCGATGCCTGATCACATTCAACTTATAGAAGGCGTGGACTAGCTTTCCCAAAGCATTTCAAACCAGGCATTCAGGTGTTGACCAACATGAGTGATAGCTGACAAAGGTATTATGACTGCTGAACTTTCTATGCAAATATGCCAGCAGAGTAAAGGCATTTGGAAACATTAAAATGATCAAACAGGTCTAAACATTACATTAAAAACTACAGTAAACATAAAAAATTGCACACACACACAACATTTACTCATTGGGGAGGGAGGTTGTTGGGATGTTACCTTAGTTACTTCTGGGTTTTCGGCCACCATGTAAGTAAAGCCAATGTTCACCAGATCTGTGCCACTGCAGACACACAATATCCGCCCTTCCAGATCATTTTCAGATTTTCCAACAGCTTCAAGAGCAGCCAGGATTTTGGGATCCTGTAGATGTATAAAAATAGGAAAAAATATGTTAGGTCGCAGAGTGTAGAGAAAAATGTGGTGGAAAGAAACCACATTTGGGGTAAAAATATGCCTCAAAGGGAAATGGTTCCTATCCCTATTTAAAATCCTAGTGAACTAGCATTATTATAAAACCTGGGGAGATGAAGCTTCCAATTATTACAGAGTACCAGAAACCCCTTCAGGAGAACATTATGCTTTTTTTTTTAACTATGGTCTTTGTATAGATTTTTAACATAAATCTTATTTATTTGTTTTGGCCGTACATATGCCTGTGTTTGTGAGTACCTGGTGCTCGGAGGTTAAAGTCATTATGTGGGTTTCCAGAATTGGTCGGGGTCTACTTGAAGAGCAGCCAGTGCTCTTAACTGCTGAGCCCCTTTGTCTGGATTTTTGATTGTCACTATCCAAGAACTTCTGATTTAGCAAAGTTCAGGAAAGACCATGACTGGTGTGTGTTTGTGTGCATGAATATCCAGGGGGCCTCTTACCACAGAACACAGGCTTACTTACCATGAATAAGCACGGCATTGCCACAGCTACTACCACAGTCTGTTCTTTAAAGGAACTTGAGACTCTTAAGTAACTTCCATACAAAGACCAAGCATTTTCATTTCTATAGTCTATGCATCCTCACATGGAAGGGAAGTGTGAAAGTTTACCCCAGTTCCTACATAAAATACCATATTTGTTTTCGAGAGGAAATTCCAACATGTAGTTACACAGGAAACTTAGCTAACATAAAAGAGGCCGGCTGAAAGCTAAATAAATAGGAATAGAATTTTGTTTTAGATATCTGAAAACATGCAGGGTAGGTACACTGAAGGAAATAAATATTGTTGTAAACTATTCTATGAAGAGACACCTTTTAAGTTCCTAACATCACTTGCATAGAGCTTCATTTTTTGTTGTTGTTGTTGTTCTTTTTTTCAGGAGGTTTTCCAGACAGGGTTTCTCTGTGGCTGTGGAGCCTGTCCTGGAAGTAGCTCTTGAGCTCTTGTAGACCAGGCTGGTCTCTAACTCACAGAGATCTGCTTGCCTCTGCCTCCCTAGTGCTGGGACTGAAGGCATGAGCCACCACCACCCAGCTACATATAGCTTCTTATTCAAAGCAATCTATGAAGGTCACTGAATTCTGTGCTCTGGGAGTTTTTTCTCTTAGAGTCCAGCCAAGCATTCATTATGAACTAGTGTCCTGAGTGCAAAGGTGAAGAAATACAGGGAACCCCAGCACTGTAAACCTCCACATTCATCAGTCACCCATAAAAAGCAAGTCATTGATAGCAAGATGATTGGGAGAGTTTTTTTTAAATTAATTTCTAGATTAAGGGATCTTTCTCTGATACTGACACCATGCAAAGGTTTTAGTTTTCAAGTACTAAAACATTTCCAATATAACTGAAAATAACATAATCCAAATCACCCAAGACTTTTAGATGAAACGGCTACTCTATGCCCATCCTTACATCCACGCTGATGACCTGGGGGCAATAATGAACTAAACAGAATCCCTGAGATCATTTTTCAAGTCTTGTAAATCTATGTTTTAAGGAACAGTGGGGTCAGTGAGACAGCTTAGAGGGTAGAAGTGCCTACTGTGCAAGCTTGACAACTCAAGTTTGATTCCCAGAACCATGTAAACAGATGTATGGACAGAACCAATTCCACAAGAACATTGTGGTCCAAAGCACGCTCACACCCACTACACACATACAAGAATGACATCAATCGCATTATACTTACCTTTGGTATGGCTGCCAGTCGAATACTGTTGATGAGGGAACATTCTAGCACTTGGCCTTCCTAAAGAGAGAGCACAAACCCCAGCAATACACTTTAAATTCTACCAGTCTCATGGTGAAAGTACTTAACAAACATTTCTAAAAATAAAATCAATGCTTTTCAGAGAAGTGGCCAAATGCAAACCAAGAACCAGTAATGATTTCTAGTGATCAGAAAGAAAAGACTTAAACTTCTTACTTCATATATATGAAAATAATATATATATGAATATATATGAATATAATATATATATGAATGCAACTCTGAATAATTAAAAAATGTTTACAAAAACATGATTACATTTATACACATAATAACATTCATATACAATTACATATGTACATTTAGAAAACATTAAGTACGAATAATGCAAGCTTTCTACAATTCCAATTACATCTTTCTTGGTTGGAGCTCCAATGTTCATTAAATGTGAACATTGTGCCACACATCTGATTATGCCCCAGGGTCTAATGGGTTGAACTCTCATTTAATGTGCCTTTAATTTCTGCTTGAAAATTATTTTCTAGGAAGTATTCATAGCTCTCAAGGTTAAATCATACCTACTTTGCCTAAGCTTTTATAACAATGTCAATTTCTCTTTCACAATGCTCAGTGACTTGAAGCTCTTTCAAAAATGCCCAACTTTGTTCTTCCAGCAGGATCTCCTAGAGTTAAACTCCATACTGTCTTTAATCCCCCAGTGTCCTCAATGCCTGGGACAGGAAAGCAAGTAGAGAACAATCTCAAAGGACTGAGGAAGTATAGAATCCATGCCCTAAGAGAAAATTGGTCTACCTATTGAGAAATAAAGTGGCTTGAGCTAGAGGGTGGGTAGGACAGGCTGCTGCTCTAATGCCATACCTTGCCTTCACTCTTCCAGGTCAGGAAGAAGCCAAATTCGTCCACTTTGAAGAGGCAGCTGGGCTCAAACACAAAAGATTCCTGTTAAAAAGAAGTGTGATGCGTTTTGTGACATGACATTTTGAATGCAATAAAAATTCAAGTATGTCTGATCGTCAAACACAGGACAACAAGCAATGACCCTTTGTATCTGTGTGATGATCTCTTTCTTGCATAAATAAAGCCTGTCTGGGGGTCAGAGAATGGAGCTTGCCACTAGCTAACCATAGAGGTCTGGAGGTCTGTACAGACAGGCAGGAAGTGACGTAACTGGGCAGTAACAGTATATAAGCAGGGGCAAGCAGGAAAGTGCTCTCTTCTCTGTGGAGACACTTGGGAGGTAAGGGGTGCTGTGCTCCTCTCTGATTTCTCAGCAGGCTTTATTTGTTCAAGAAAGATATCACCACTCTCTGGATCCTAACACTTCCATTTCTGATGATAACTGTGGAACACTTTCATTTAGATCACTGTGTGTTCTTTTTCTATATCACAAGGCTAATCAATTTAACAGAGAACCTTCCTCTAGAACACATCCAAAATTAGTGACATGGATGCTATATGTTTATACAGGAAAGTTTACTGAAGGTTTTGGGAGAGGAGCTCCTGAAAGATATTTAAGTGTTGCCTGTTTGCCCTCCATACAGGACACACTGCTGCCTGTAACTGATCCATACCAACACTAGCCCCGGGGATGTGTCACCAAAACCTTCTGGGACTTATGATACACAATGCATTGAGTGTCACTGCTGTGGACTTTACTTCAGAAACTCAGTGCAAACCACAGAATCAAAGCTTCAATTGAGAAGGATTGCTTTCCAAACTCATGCACCACAGTAGGTCTGCCCAATGCACCAATGGATTTCTGGTCCATTGCATTTAGGAACACCAGGAAAATCTCTCTGTGAGAGAGAGAGAGAGAGAATAAAAAGGTATTCGGGAAATGAACCCAGATGCTCTGTGCCCTCTGTTTGCATTAATACCAAGACATGACTCCGTGATTTGACAAATCTAGGCATTCTTCTCACAATTTAAAGAAGCCGACTTCCTACATCATTGTAATGTCAACAATTAGGAACCCATCCTTGCCACAGCGAAAAAGCATCATTAAATAATAGCAATTACAGGACTAACATTTTAAGAAAGACACCAGATGCTTAGTTTCTCACATCCAAATTTATCTTTCTAAATTCCAGGAAAACAGCAACATTCATCGAGGCAAATCCAATGTTAAGAGAGAACCACCGCAAAGTGGCAGAATCCAGGGATCTGGCAGCTCCAAATAAAGCTAACTTTCAATTTGGGGTAGTTTTCTGTCAAAGAATTACTGTATGTATCCAACTCAATACCAGGCAGTGGGCACTCCACGCCAGTACTTGAAACTGCAGACAGAGGCAAAAGTAAGACCTCTGTCTTTGGAGACAAAATCCAGCTTCTTCATTGTCTATTTACTTGCTCTGAATAGACCCTTTCTGTCTCAAATCCTACCTGATCAAAGCATTTACCCATATCTTTTGAGTTAGTTGTAGCAATTAAATTAGCCAGGGGATGCAAGGTACACAGCACAGAGGCACAATTCAGTAAGTTACAGAATGTGGTACTGTAACCATGGTTGCCAATTATTAATAAGTATTTGGCAGAATGTGTGTGATTCGACCTTGAATGGTTGATGACTCCTTTCTTCTTGAAATACCTTCCCCCTCCCTCCTCTGACCATGTCCCATTCCTCTAATGTCCTTTCCTGCCTTTTCCCAACACCCAAGCTCTCCATAGCCTTCAGGACTTGTTTCTTCAACTTCTCGTTTCCACCGTGTTCCTAGGTTTCTATAAATCACACAGCTTCAATACCAACCAGTTACTGCTGCCACCCACATTTAAAATAGCAGCCCAGTCACCTGGGAGATCCGAATCAGACATTTAACTCCCCAGTTGCCATCCCCACTTGGATGTTTCAAAACTAACATGTTCAGATCTGACTTTGGCTCCCTCCCTCCTCTCTGTGCTACTGTACCATCACAAGCTGCCCTTACTTGAACAAATGTCGCCAGTGTACCTGGCTCTTCACCTTACAGACTTAATCATTGAGACTGAGAGTCATTCTTGCCTTTTCTTCCTTATTTTCTCCTCACGATCATTAATAAGTCTACATTCAAGGCATTTAGGTGACAAGCCCATTTCACTCTATCAATACCATTATGATCTTGGTTCAAACCCTTGTTACCACTCCTATGAATTCTTACCATGTCTACACTGTTTATCCCATAGCTGCCATATTGATTCTTTAATTATTTTTTAACCAGTTCTCTAAAATCCTAATGAATTCCCATTACATTTAGGTAAAATTTCACTAAAGTAGTCTAAAGAATGCTAAGCTAAGAACATCTGGATCCTTTGTGTCTTACTTTAGCCACTTCCTGTTCTGTGATCTTTGGGCTCACTACCAACAGAACAGCTTTCCTTAAATGCCTTCAGTGCTTTCCAGTCTCAGGACCTTTGCACTTCCAACTCCACCTCTTCAGAAATGTCTCTCTCGTCGTCACTTTAATGACTGATTGATCCTCTCTTCAGAGAAGCTCTCTAATCTCCCTACTTTGTCTCTGATTTCCTTGCTGGTACTGAACACAGTCTGCTTCTGACTGACTAGCTCACATACTAGACGGTGACCTTCACTAGGAGAGCCCTTAAACTGATCTTGTACATGTCTAAGTTTCTTTCATTGGAAGTTTTATTTCAAAATCATCTTAAAACTAATTTATTCCTAAAAGGATGAATGGACAGACAATTTTGTCAAATAAAGTATTTTGCTACAGGTCACTATGTAAAAAACATAAAACTGAACCAATTCATACTGAAGGGACGGCACCAGGGTGGCTGGCGCCAAGCCAGGTCCGACTGTTCTTGTGGAACTTAAGGGAAATAGGGTAACATACAAGGCAACATGTTGAGGTGGGCTGTGTGGGAGAAGAGACATCTTTTCCCAATTCATACACACTCATTTCAGAAGTTGGGGTGGCTCCAAGAACTGACTAGGAACCACCCCCATTGAGTCAGAGGCACCACTTGAAAGTTCTTGAAAGAAGTTACTTCTAGCAGAGCCTAATACTGCAGGCCTTTAATCCCAAGGTGCCCAGAAGTTGAGACAAGAGAATCACAAATTCAATGCCTGCCTTCACAATTTAGGAAGATTGTCTCAAAACAACCAAAAAACAGGAAAAAAATTAAAAAAAAAACATTCCACTGAGGATCAGAATCAGTGGAACAGTACTCAGCTAACATACTCGGGGACCTTGGTTCAACTCCTAGGATCTCAAAAGTGAAAAACAAACACAACAACAACATAAATGGGATTGGGGGGAGAAACTAATTTCCATAGCGAGATAAGAAAACTGAGCCAAAAAAAAAAAAAAAAAGCAAAACACAGTAGAACGGTAAACAAGGGGTAGAGTAAAATGTAGAAACCCTCAGAGCTAGGCGGGATGGGGTCCGTCAATTAGACAATAAAATCTATTTGCTTCTGGAGTCCTCAGCAACTAAAATAAGAGGAAACATTCATAAATGGCTTATTATCTGGTTCATGAGATAAAACCCTATTTGCTATTATAAGAAGCAATGGCCATGGTGAAAATCTTCCCAGGACCTCACTTAGAAGCCCTCCATGAATGATGTTAAAATAACAGGACTAAAACAAGCTCCTTGACTTAGCTGAGAGGTTTCCTAACAAACACATCCAAGATACCTATGAAATATCAGAGGACACATCTAAGAGCTAAGTGACAACCAACTGAAAGAAACTAAAGTAAAGCTACTTAGGTTTCTACTTCCTACCAACCAGCCTAACACTGAGCCTCTACTGGTGGTAAATAAGTTTCCTTGTATTTATTTGGGAGCTCGGTGGCAGGCCCCTAGAGAATAACATCATGTCTGCACCTTCCCTGCTATGAAAAACTCATATTCCTTTGGTACCATAAGCCCAAATAAACTAAGTTTCTTTAAGTTCTCTGTGTTATAGTGTTTCTTCACAGTGATAAAAAGTAGTACTGAAAACAGATTGGTATTGGCACAAAAATAGGCAGGTAGACCAATGGAATCGAGTTGAAAACCCTGATATTAACCCACACACATACGAACACCTGATTTTTGACAAAGAAGCTAAATTTATACGATGGAATAAAGAAAGCATCTTCAACAAATGGTGCTGGCAAAACTGGATGCTGGCATGTAGAAGACTGCAGCTAGATCCATGTCTATTGCCAGGCACAAAACTTAAGTCCAAACGGATCAAAGATTTCAACATAAATCAAGCCACAATTAGAAGACAAAGTGGGAAATACCCTTGAATTAATTGGTACAGGACACTGCTTCCTGAACATTACAACAGTAGCAGACATTGAGATCAACAATTGATAAATGGGGCCTCCTGAAACTGAGAAGCTTCTGTAAGGCAAAGGACATAGTCAGCAAGACAAAACGGCAGCCCACAGACTGGGAAAAGATATTTACCAACCCCACATCTGACAGATGGCTGATTTCCAAAATACACAGAGAACTCAAGAAGCTGGTCTCCAAAACACCAAACAATCCAATGAAAAAGTGGGGTACAGAACTAAATAGACAATTCTCAGTAGAGGAATCTAAAATGGCTGAAAGACACATAAAGTGTTCAACATCCTTAGCTATCAGAGAAATTCAAAACAAAACAACTCTGCGATACTATCTTACTCCTGTCAGAATGGCTAAAATAAAAAAACACAAATGACAGTTTATGCTTGAGAGGATGTGGAGAAAGCAGAACACTCCTCCACTGCTGGTGGGAGTGCCAACTTGTAAAGTCATTTTGGAAATCAGTATGTCAACTCCTCAGGAAAATGGGAATCAGTCTACCACACGATCCAGCAATTCTACTCTTAGGCATATCCCAAAAGAAGCACATTCATATAGCAAGGAAATCTATTCAACGATGTTTATAGCAGCATTATTTGTAATAGCCAGAACCTGGAAGCATCCTAGATGTCCCTCAACTGAAGAATGGATACAGAAATTGTGGT